CATCGACGTCGACGATGCCTGACCAGGCCGCGTCGGGAAACTGCCACTCGATGATCTCCCCAGTCTCTGTGGGCGGCATGGCCCAACAGGTCGCCGACTGGGGGTCCCATCCGTCGTCTAGCAACAGCGTCACTTTCGCCGACAGCGGCCCGCGAATGCGGCGTGAGCGATGGGTCGGCATCACCCCCCTGAGGCCCCCTGAGGCGAGCGAACGCCGCTGGCCATGCAGCGTGCACTCCAGCTCGTAGCGACGGCCCCTGTTGCCACATGCGGAACGAGGTACGTGCACACTCCTCAGGCATACGCAGCGCAGGGTCCTCAGGTGCCCTCAGCCCGATGAGCACCGCCAGACACCTTTCCTCGAGCCGTCGACCCAACTGCTGCCCCCAGCCTGCGCCGAAAGGCAGCGAGCTGCATGCCGAGCGCGCCGTGGATCTGGTAGGCGCAGGGCCCTGTAGCCTGAGCCCCGAGCCTCTCCAGCTTGGATGTGACTCCGCTCCGTCGTCCTGCTGCCGTGTACTTCCTGACCTTAGCATGCGCCCTGCTATGCATCTGAAACCGAGCGCGGCGAGTCGACCTCGCGCGCGCCCTGCCGTTGCCCGAGTCTGAGCCAAGGTAGGCTGCCGCACGCTGTGCTTTGACAACAGACCTGCTCGTCGTAATGCACTGGTAACTTTGACTGCGCCTTTGGAGAACCAAACATAATACCGCGCTCTTGTGCGCAACGCGCAAATCAAGACGAGCCAGGCCGCAGCGCGCGTCGCGCAATCAGTTGGCTTAACCGCGCGCCGCCGATGTTCGTGATCCATCAACCCTCTGCGAAATATCATCTACCAAGATCCTGTGGCCCATCCTCGGATGGGCCGCGCATCTTCTGAAGCGCGAAGTATGCCACTATGCGGGCAAAGCGGGTCCCCGATCTCAGCCCCTCCACAATAAATGAAAAAAAAGGTCAACCATCTAATCTGCAACGGACGCCGCGTCCGGGCAGTTGATCAGGTGATTCATTTTTCTCCATCAGATGTGTGGCAACGACCCTCTGTGGCGCCGATGTTGCGAATGGTGCCGGCCTGGCCGCGGGATTGTAGCATGCCTCCAGCCCGATGCGATTGAGAATGCCCCCTTGCGCCATCTTGGCGTTGTGCGGGTTTGGCAGGTCCACGCGAACGTTGGCCAATGGGAATGAGGTGTCGCTGGAGAGCTGGTGGATCATGAAGCGCGCCAGGCCTCTCCATTTGTCCGTCGCGCCGAGGCCCCCAGGCGGGTGGGCGGGTCAGCTGGCAGCCCCCCAGGTATTTGCCCAGCGATCCGAAGAAATCGGTCGCCACCTGGTCGTGCCCCATGCGATCATTCGCGCATTGTTCGGCATTCCAGTTGCATGTCCTATCTGGTCACCGTTCTTCTTAACGGTCTCCTTGATGAGCTTTTGGACGTGCGCGTTGCATCCTGGCGCGGTAATTACTGTCATGCTGGATGCTGCTGTAGGTGGTCGTCATACACCCAATGACGTCTCGCTGCAGCAGCGACGCTGCAGCTCAAAGGTGGATGAGCCTGAGCAGATGCCAGCGCGGGGTTCCTCAACAAGTGTCGATGCCCCCTCGTAGAACGCGGTCACGCCTGCCGGCGTTGGCGGCCCTGGCGCTTCCTAAGCTAGCGGTCGCATGTAGGGAACCTCGTTGGTGACGTGGCGCCCGTGCTGCTGGCTGGGCAGGCCCCCGTGCGATTTGGTGGGATGGCATTCGTTTATGGGCTGGCAGCGGCTGCTTATTGGTGCATAGTGGCTTGGCCTCGTCGCCTTCCGCCCCTGCTCAGGCTCTCGGCAGGGACAAATGGCCAACCTTGGGCCGGGTGACCTCGCGTGGTGGTGTTGCGTTTCGTTGTTTTGGTGGTGGCTTGTCTGGAAAGCCTGCAGGCGGGTACAGCATGTGAGTCGGTGGTGGGGCTTTGCAGCGGCATCCGCCGGTGGTAGGTGCGTCGGATGGCGGGTCGCGGTCGGGTGATATGTCGAGTGTTTGGATGCTGTCGTTGTGGGCGCTGACCTTTTCAACTGCGGGTGCCGATCCATCTGCGGTCAAGCTGACAAGGTCGTGGATGCCTTGTTGGATCACGTCGTGGTCGGCCTGATGATGTTGCGCTGTCGTTGGGAGGTTCAGCCAGGTCCGGATGGTCCAAGACTGGTCGGGAGAGCTCGCAGGAATCGGTCTGGGGGCCTCTGGTCGGTTCGCGGCCTGGATGCCGGCGATCATCCTGGTGATGCCTTCCGGAGTTTTCATACCGACGTTCCGGTTAGTCATGGTATCTCCGACGCGCGTGCTAGTCGTTCTGTTCCCAATCAAGTAATCCCGAAGCTGCTGGTGGTTCATATCGATGATAGTGTGCTTGCGTTGTCCTTCATGGTAGTTAGATTTTGCCGCGTGCTTGTCAATCACTGACCTGTCCACCTAGACCGACTTTGCTGTGATGGTGGCGATGGCCTTCGTGGCGTCGGGGGCAGTGCTGACTGCCGCTGCCCTCGTGAGGCCAACGGAGATGTTGTCATCATGCTGTTGCTGCCGTTGTAATGACACTTCTCCTCGGTGGCCGCGACGCCTCCTTCCCACCCATTCATGTTGAAGTCGCAAGCTTGGCTGTCGCAGTGGCTCGGGTTGCCCGTCTCGTACACGATCCGCAGGTGAGGGCAAAGAAGCTGGTGGTCAGGATGGAAGGGAAGCCCGCTGCGGATGCTCAACCATTTTATCTGAATTGCCAGCTCGTGGTCCGTCCGCGTTCTGTGGTCTGGTGGCTATGCTGGTGGCGGTAGGCTGTTTGGCGGTGGCGGTTCGGCTGCATGAAGTCCAATGGTACTGGGTTGACGATCGCGCGTGTTCTGGGTCGGCGTTTCGACGTGATCGTGTCCTGGTGGACGTGATTGCTCGCGTCTCGCAAGCTCGGTGCCTGCCGATGCATACATGCACATGGTATGATGCCGATCGTCCGTGTGCGTGGTACAGAGACAATCGAGTCCACTAGTAGCTCGCAGTCGTCGATGATGGCGTTGGAGTGCTCGTTGCGTTTGTCCACGATGATGTTGCGCCTGGCTTGTGTACGTCGGCCTCGATGGGGGACATCAGGTGGTGGACGTCTATCTCCTCCTCCGCCTCTTGCTCCTCCTCCTCCTCCTCCTCCTCCTCCTCCCTCCTCCTCCTCCTCCTCCTCCTCCTCCTCCTCCTCCTCGTGTTATCCTCCTCCTCCTATTTATCCTCCTTTTCACATCCTCGCCCTCGTTATCCTGCGATGTTAAGTGTCACGCGCTTGGCCCCGAAACCACCCACTGTGAGCACCGCCAAGCCGACGGCGAAGATGTCCTCGTCCTTGTCCTCGTCCTCCTCCTACTCCTCCTCCCACTTCTCGTCCCCCTCCTCGTCTTCTTCTTCCTCCTTTTCCTTCTCCTCGTCCTCCTCGTTTTCCTCGTCATCCTCCTCCTCGTCCTCGCCCTCGTCAACACGCTCCCTCTCCAGGCCCTCGCCCTTTTCGTCAATGTTGCGTACGCTGTTCTGCCCCTCGATTAAACGCAAGGGTGACCATGAGCAAGGCAACGGTCGGTGCCCCGTTTTCTAAGGGGGGTCAAAGGGATTTGCTGAAGGCCACCTGTCGCCTGTCGGCCCGCGCCATCTCACTCCGGAGAAGGTCTCGCCCCTGGAGGTCTGTACCCCTTCCCCGGGACTGGCTTCTCATCCCGAGCCGTTGGTTCTGGGGCACGGCGAAGGCCCCAAGAGGCCGAAAACGGCTGAACAAATTCCCGTCCCATCTTGTTCGCCACGCCTGGACGTGGCTATCGGGTCATAATTTGGGTCTCTGGCGGCCGTTCGGCAGGATCCACGCACCCCTGGGACGCTAAACGCGAAGCGCGCGGCTGCTGGAACGCATCACGAGGCAAGAGAACCCCATACGAAAACGTCCAGAAACGTCCGAACAAGAACCGACAAGCCACGCTGGCGAAAGGTCGCTCTGTCGCGGGGGTCCCCAAACGGTGCAGCGACAGACCGTGCGATGACCTCGCAATTCGAAAGTCCTCACCACACGGTCCGTCACCGCACGGTTTTGGGATCCTGGAGGCCCCTGTCGCCCGAGACATTCCCTGATAACGACCCCAGTCTTAAAACTGCACAGTCACAAGTTACAACCCCGCATCCCCAGACTCACCACCCACCGCCCCGATTGGGGCCCTCGGCTTGCACGAAGCCGATGTTCGCCCTCGTCGGCGGGAGGGTAAGGGCCGCCTTGGCGAAGGGATCCCCAGCCAACTTCATGGCCAGCATGGAGATCGGCTGGCTCTTGAGGCGGATGCCCTCCTGGGCGCGGGAGCGGGGCGGCGGCTGGGCGACGTCCTCGCGCCCACCCGCACCGCCTGCTTCCGGCCAAGGAGCTGTTTGCTCAGCGTGTCACGGCGACGACTCCTGCGACACGCTGTGCCCTGCACGATAATGGCATGTCGCTCCGCTTCATGGGGCAGGAGGCTGGGAAAAACACAAAGTACCGATACTTGGGGGCTGCGACGTAATCAGCGTGTCGCGCCGAACCGTGGATGGTGCCAGAAGCGGCGGCGCGACAAGCTAATCACACGTTCGTGACCGCTGCAAAGTCTCTGTCGCCGGCCTCGCTTGTCGGAGCTCGTAACCCGTTTCAGATCGCTGCGCGGCTGGTCTCAGTCACTCGCCCCACCTGGGGTCAGAACTCCTTCCCCTCCCCATCGTTCTGCTCCCCCCGCTCCTTTCGTCTTTCCTCTGGGAATCGGGGTAAGATGTCAAAGGAATTAAGGTCTCATGTTGACTCTGCTCAGAGGTAGATGATACGGGATGAGACATCGATGAAACTACAAGTGAACCGTTAAGCAACTGCACTCAAGTATAGGAAGGGAGGAGGTCCGGCCGGCCGACGACCGACGACGCGCAGCGGCCGAGGGCTGGCGCGCTCCTTTTCTCGCTTGAGTACAAGATAGCTGCGGGATGGTACCGCAGCAACGTCAAGGTGTGACAAGGCAGGCAGCAGAAGAGGCAGGTGCAGAATGAGGCGGAGAGGAGCATATTTATTCCCCCCGCGGCGGGTTTTGTAGAGCCCAACCAGCCACAGTGCGCATGGCCTGCACATATTTACATCCACCGGAGCGAACCCCAGAAATATTTTACCGCTCAACGGTGGTTGCCCGGGGGCTGAGGGCCGGAGAAACCCGACGAATCCCACCAATAGTTAAATAAATTCTCTCGGTTTCGGTTCGGTTTCGGACCCCCGCGATTTGCAGATTTTATACAGAAAGCCTCTCTCTCACCTCCTCTCTCTTCCTCCTCCCCCTTTCTCCTTCACTTTCCGTCTCTCTCTCTCCCTTCCTTCCGCTTCCCTCTTCCCCCCCTCCTCCTCCAGCTCCAGACTGGATGAGCCTGGCGGGCTCTCGGCTTTCAAAGGGGTCGAAAAGGAACCGCTCTTGTTGCTGCACTCCTCTTCTCCACTCTTCTCCTCCTCCTCCTCCTCCTCCTCCTCCTCCTCCTCCTGCTCCTCCTCCTCCCCCTCCTTCCTTTGTTCTCTCGGCTTCCCCAGAGAGCAAGAGACCATTGGGAAAACCAAAAAAAACAAAAAAACAAAAAAAACAAAAAACAAAAAAACACAATAAAAGCAAAAAAAACAATAGAAGCAATGTTCTGGGAGAATACGGACAGCGAGGCGAATCCTTGCGAAACATTGCTTTTATTGCTTTGTTTGCTTTTTTTGTTTTTTTTTTTGTTTTTTTTGTTTTTTGTTTTTTTGTTTTTTTTTTGGTTTTCCCAATGGTCTCTTGCTCTCGTCGTCCTCGTCGTCCTCCTCGACACCGACCCCCCCCCAGATTCTCCTTTCCCCTCCCCCTGGTCCTTCTCGTCACCCCCTCCTCCTCCCCCTCCTCCTCCACGTCATCACCATCGTCATCGAAAGCCGCCCTCTTGCCCCTCCTGCATCTCCCTCCTCCTCCTCCGCCTTGTCGTCCACCATCGCATCACTTTCGGGTCTTAGGTCGGGCCTCCGGAACGTTCTCGGCGAGGCGCAGCTCCTCAAGAGTTTTTCCACTCAATTTTGATCATCGGACTTGTCATGAGCATCGTCGTCAGCATCGTCATCGACAGCATCTTGAAACTGATGCATTTCATCAGCATCGTCATCCAAAGCATCTTGGAAAGCATATTTGTCATTATCATCGTCATCGGCACTCTCTTGAAAACAATGCTCGTCATCAGCATCGTCATCGGCACTCTCTTGAAAACGATGCACGTCATCAGCATCGTCATCGACAGCATCTTGGAAATAATAGTTTTCATCATCATCGTCATCGGCACTGTCTTGAAAACGATGCTCGTCATCAACATCGTCATCGACAGCATCTTGGGACTGATGCGCGCCATCAGCATCGTCATCGACAGCATCTTGGAAAGGATAGTTGTCATCATCATCGTCATCGGCACTGTCTTGAAAACGATGCTCGTCATCAGCATCGTCATCGACAGCATCTTGGGACTGACGCACGTCATCAGCATCGTCATCGACAGCATCTTGGAAAGGATAGTTGTCATCATCATCGTCATCGGCACTCTCTTGAAAACAATGCTCGTCATCAGCATCGTCATCGACAGCATCTTGGGACTGATGCACGTCATCAGCATCGTCATCGACAGCATCTTGAAAAGCATAGTTGTCATCATCATCGTCATCGGCACTCTCTTGAAAACGATCCTCGTCAGCAGCATCGTCATCGGCAGCACGTGAACGCCGTGCTCGTCATCACCGCCATCCTCGTCATGTCCGTAGCTGTTTGCAGGCTCAATCTCTCCATGCCACTTTCATTGCTTAGCTATGCCCCGCGGGCCTGCTATGGAGCAGGAGGCGGAGGCCTCGACGAAGAAGCAGCCTGCTATGGAGCAGGAGGCGGAGGCCTCGACGAAGAAGCAACGGACCATCGAGCAAATCAGGAGCAATAGCGGTTGGAAACTTCCGTCGTTTCGGCGCTTGACCACCAAGCAGGCCCCGCCCGCGATGGCGTGCACTCGCAAGCCGATGAGCGTGGAGGAGAAAAAGAGGAGGAACAAGGAGTCGCAGCGCAGGAGCAGGTTGAGGGCGGCAAAGGGGAAAAAGATCATCAAGAAGCGCCCCGCCAAGAAGTCCAGCAGCTCCTCCTCTTCCTCGGGCTCTTCCTCGTCTACGTCCCCGATGATGGGGAGGTCCTCCTCCTCTTCGGACCCGGACTGAGAGGGCCGGAGAGAGGGAGAGAGACAGAGAGAGAGAGAGAGAGAGAGAGAGAGAGAGAGAGAGAGAGAGCGCAACCACCAGCTTTGAGCAGCAACCGCTTTCGGAACCCGAGAGGACGGAACAAAATCATCATCATCACCCAGGAAGGGCCCAGGGGGGGCACTTAGGAGAGGACGCACAAGAGGCCCACGAGAGGGGTCTGGATTACACCCATAAATGAAACCAAGACAAACCCAGCAAGGTAACATGGGATTGTTATTGATCAATCATTACAAGCGTTCGCCTTCACACTGCTGGTGTTTTGGCTCAGAGAAGGGTTGCGCCGAAACGGTCGCGAACCTGCTTTGTCAGACTCCCCGCGTCTCGATCGGCTCAAGCTGTTTCATCGCACGCGCCTTTCGCGCCTACGCTTCGCTTTCGCGACTGCCATGGCGAAAGAGAACGCGATCCTCCCCAAGACCCTCCGCGAGACTCTTGGGGACGCAGTTGGGGACGAAAGCATCAACTTCGGCGAAGCTCTCGCACACGCCGACGGCATGAAGCCCCACTTCCACGCTGGCCTCCCGCACGGCCACGTCGGGCAAGAGGGGGCGTCGAAAATCGCGGACCTTCCTGCTGCGCCCATGAACGTCCATGCGGGCGCGAAGATCGCCTACTTTGGGGGCCTGTTGATGAACCAGGACTACGGGGAGATCCAGGGCCCCGACGGGAAAGCAGTCGGTGTCCTCACGGGGTGGAAGGACGCACGAGGGCAACCGTGCCGCTTGGACGTGGTCAGGGACCTTGCGACGAAGTCCAATTTTAGCGGCCTCCCTCCGCCTTTCAACCTCAAGAGCCAACCTGGCGGGACATACGTCATGCAGATGTTCGTCGTCGGCGCTGGGGAGGGTAAGGTGCACATCTTCAAAAACGTTGACTTGAAGGGCCAGTTCTTGAAGATGGCAAGCTGCGAGCCAATGTGTCATGGCACAGGCGTCGTGTACCAGTATGGGAACCAGTATAGGGCAGGCCGCAATGCGATCTGTTACCTCCTGGAGAAACTTGGCGGCTTACAGGTTCGCTTCTCCACGCTGACAGCCACGGCGAAGCCTGCCAAGCGCTCGACCGAGCGGGATAAGAAGCTCGAGAGGTACCGATACATCGAGAAGAAGGGCCCGAAGAGCAACAACCGCAACCAGTTCATGGAGTTCGCGGACAAGGACGGTTCGGCGGGGGAAAACGGCGCCATTTGGCTAGCCCCTTTGCTACCCTCTTCCCCCCGACACCCTCCTCGGTCGCGCAGGCGCTTTGGCCGCCGAGCGGTTGCGGCTAGCTAAGCGGCGCCGTTGTTTCCCCGCCCCCCCAGGAGGTCAACGACCCGCAGTCGAAAATTTACGGCTGGGAGGAGTCCCGCGTGATCCAGGCGTTGCGGAACCATGCGGGCGGGCGCATCAATGCCAAGCGCCTCACTGTCTGGGCGCTCACGCTGAAGGACTTCGAGCCGTGGTTCATCAACGAGGTGCTCGTGAAGATCCTGCCAACGCTTCGCCGCAACGGCGTGCTCTGGATCGGCAAGACCAGAGTGGGGAAGTCGACTGCGTCAAAGACCCTTGCGTTCTTGATGTCCATGCTGGAGATCGACGCCCTTGAGGGCGATGATGGGGAGGGCGCCCCCGAGCCTTCCATTGTCACCGCCAAGCACTTTGATTTCTTCAAGGGCGAGCACGTGGAGAGGGTGCTGCCCGCGGTGTTCGACGACGGGGACTTGCGCAAGCAGGACGCGTCCGTGTTGAAGGCGTTCCTTAACCCGAGCGAGGAGGACTCCACCTTGTGGGCGAGGTGGGGGTCCAGCACGTTCGCCCCAGGGGCGTCCCGCCAGGCAGTGAACAACAGCTACGATAATGCATTGGAGAAAAGGTTGGTGGCAGCTTGGCGCCAGGGGCAAGCAATGGAGATTCCGCTCAAGCAGCTCATGAATCTCATCGCGCCCTCCCTGAAGCAGGTCACAGAAAAAGAAGACATGAAAGCCTTGCTCGCGAGGGCCCACGTCGTCGTGACCACGGGCGCGCGCGTGTATTTCCGCCTCGCATCCGATGAGTTCCCAGAA